CTATCTATCTATCTTATGGTGAGTGTTGTAGATGCAGCAATATCAACAATAATACAAAGGCTATAGTATCAAGCTTTCGATGTGCTGATTGGAGCCTCTGTTTTCCTAACCTAGTGGCAACGGTGTAGCTGATATTGGTTAGGGCTTGGATTTTAAACCATGAGACTGCATTCAAAGTTAAAAGAATTTTGAAATGAAACAATTTGAGATTGCCTGGCTGGTTTCAGATCCTTGAATCAGGTTTGGTGTTGTGCTTTCTGGTGGCTAAATGAAGAAACAACCAAGCCAATCAATCAGACCTTTAAAAGCAGTGTTAAAAGTGAGAGTAATTTTCAAGCTAGTTGATAAGTTACCTCGCTACGTCAACAAAAAAATAGGTTAAAAAAATCAGGAGGAGCAACTAAAATGGTGACAAATGTCAGGTCTTAAAGAAAAATGTGGATTTTGTTTTTTTTTTAACTCCAGTCTTACTTTCACAACTGTATTCTTTGTGACAAAGTGTTACGCAAACTTTGCATGAGTCACCTTCGCAGTAGAACTTTTACAAGCGTGGATTCCGGAAAAACAGTGCACATGGGTTTAGGCGGCAAAAACATTTGTAGGTTTCCAAATAAATCTTCTTTTTTTTATCATAAATATTCATTTCAGTTCAATATTATTTATGCAACATCAATTCACAGCATGTGACACTTCACATAGCAACGTCAAAACTGTATAATATTATAGTTTATATTACAGAAAAAAACGGTGTAATGACAAAATGAAAAACCTCACTTTTAACAGAAGGAAACCTCCAACAGCACCAGGATCAGGGAGGGCAGCTGTCTGCCTTGACCTGGGTAGGGTGGAGGGAGAGTGGAGATAGAAAAGACACTTTCCATTTAAACTAGTATCTCTGCGTGTGACTGGCAGTAAACAGAAACTAACCGCCTGGATTACATAGAAATGGAGTGTTTTGCAATGATGTACTCACTTGCAGTTTCTGTGCTGGTTGAAGCAGAAGTCAGCAAAAGACTCATAGCTACTGAAACAAAAGTTTTTGATTTGCCCGTGTTGGCTTTTCTTCAGCATGACTTTGGCAGTTCTTGGCTATAAATTATACAAAGTATCTGACGACTTGCCAGCGTTCAGCTGGTCTCTTCACTGACTCTGCTCCTCACTGTGATGCGACTGCAGCTCAGACTGCTGATCATGTGTAGCCGGCCAAAGTGTTTTTAAAGAGCTGGAATTACAGGGAGGCTGCCAGCTTAACTGGCATCAAAACTGTTAGCGGAAGGTGGGATTCACACTCTGCATATTCACACCGCTCCTGAAAAACACTGCATGCTGGAACATTGGAAAACACATCAGGAAGACATCACTTGCTTCTCCTGGTGGCTCCATAAGTTCAGGTGAAGACAGTGAAATCTTACCCATGATGACTGCTGAGTGTCATCCCTGAATCTCAGTCTACCTCTCTGTACTGTGAACCTCCATATTTAAAGGATAAATGCCACAAATAAAACTCTTTGAGATGAAACTGGACGATTTTATAAACTGTGACATGAGTGAAACCTCAACAACAAGGAGTCGCTGTGTTTCTCGTTGCTCCATCGGTGGCTTTGTCCCTGCCAAGCCACATCTTCTCCTCCTTGTCACTTGCTCTCTCTCTGGGTAGCTTCTCTGAATAGACGGATGCCATCGAGACAATTACCAAACCATTATGTGTCATTATCTGTTCCCAGGTAGAGTGGGAGCTATTTGAAGAAGTCCGACATCTGAGGTCTGCACAAAAGCCTGGACAGTTTGTTATCACGGTGGACGGTTACGTCAGTTTGCATCTTGTAAATGTCAGAGGAAGCAAACCTGGGATGCTTCAGGTACGGGGTGCTCTGCATGCACCCATTTATAAAAGCTGCCACCTGTTGCTGAAAGGTGTTTACACAACCTGATGTAGTTCAAGAGCACAAAAGGGTTGCAAAATCTGAGCCTGTACAAAGGGGAAAAAAAAGGATTTGACGAAGGCTGCTTTAATTTATTAGCAGGCGGGCTGCCTAAATGAGCTCTTCTGTATTTCCAAATGTGTTTTACAGATGAAAGGAGCTGGAGTAGGCATATTGTTCAAATCCTGAGGATCCACCTGAAAATCTGGCACAACCAACCGAATGGATGCGATCACTATCCATTTATGCACAGACTTTCTCGGTCTTCAAGTGTTGTGAAAATTACGTGAGTATGCGCATCGACAGAACAGGCACTCGTCTTTTTTGTTCATTTTCAAACGAAATACCTTGTTGTAAAAAATATCCTGCACCAGCAGAGTAAACTGAACAAAAACTGGAGTGACTAAAACTTCTTTTATATGAGATATAATGTGAGGTCTTGAGAATATGCACCAGTAAACTTCTAAATCAGCTGACATGCTAAAGGGCTTAAAAACAGTTGCACATTTTCAGCAGTATGCTTGTTTACATTCTTGAGATGAGAAGATTGATCTGTGTGTTACATACTGTAGGAAGCTACAGCCAGGACAGTCAGCTTAGCATAAAGAGGGGAACATGTTACCTGGTTCTGTCTGACAGTTAAAAAAACGCTACCAACCAAGACCTCTGGTGCTCACAAACTGACATGTTGGGTGTGTTCCAATAGCAATGATACCATACTGTATAAATAAAAGATTCTGTATGTCGTAATACATAGCAGATCAAATGCAGAAGGCTAAGATGCCATGCTACATCTAGTTTCATTTTGCAGTATACAAGCCAGCATGCTTTTCCGGCCATTCTGACCCACAATCCTGGAAGATACGTCACATACGCCACAGTTTCTCACTCGAGTTTCAAGCCTTAGCCGCCAAATTAGCACAGGGAAGTGTCCTGCATTCCAAATTGCATACTTTCCCCTTTTCTTTTCAGCTGAAGCTGCCCTTACAAAGTACAATCTGTTGCATGCAGTAAGAATTACAACCGGGACCTGCTTTGTCATAATATTGCACCTTAAGTTTTAACAGGGCTGCAAGGTGGGCACAGTTGGTAGCACTGTTGCTTCGCAGCAAGAAGCTTGCCGGTTTGCGTCCCGGTGGGGGCACTGGAATCTTTCTGCGTGGAGTTTGCATGTTCTCCCCGTGCAGCGTGGGTTCTCTCCAGGTTCTCCGGCTTCCTCCCACACAGTCCAGAAACATGTTGAGGTTAATTGGTGATTCTAAATTGTGAATGTGAGTGTGCTTGGTTGTCTGTCTCTAAGTGTAGCCCTGCGATGGACTGGCGACCTGTCCAGGGTGTCCCCTGCCTTCGCCCTAAGTCGGCTGGGTTAGGCTCCAGCCCCCCATGACCCCAGTGAGGATTAAGCGGTGTATAGATAATGGATGGATGGAAGTTTTAACTGTCTTGCTCATATACCCATTGTAGTTTGCAGTGTGAAATCAACTGTCTGCACGCGCTCAGCAGCTTATGTCTGTCACTTAAACAAGACACGGTGACACATACGATGTATCTTCCACTACACAGAGAAGGATTGTGGGTCAGAACGGCCAGAAAAGCATGCTGGCTTGCATACTACAAAATGTGAACAGATGTAGTGGGACATCCTGTTATTTTTGGCATAAAGGATTTGCTGTACTGTGAATTGGGACGTATTAAATCTTTTCCTGGTTTACTGTATGGTATGGCGGTATGGCTGTTGGAATGTGTGCAGACTGCAACAGCTACATGAGCAAGACGGTCAAAGCTTAATATTATGATGAAGCAGTCTGACCCAGTTGTATGCATGCTCCAGGCAGCAGTGTGTACTTTCTAAGGGCAACCGTTGTATGCTGTGAAAGAAAAAAACTATGTGATTTGGAATGCAGGGATTGTATCTTGCTTGTTTAACTGAAGCATAAAAACCCCAAATTGTGGCTTTACAAGGGATTACATGCTGATCAATTTCTCAGAGGCCAGCAGCCAAGTGCACTGATTTCCTCTGTCACCGTGAGGTTGCCTTCATTACTAAGTTTTGATCTCGTGATTTGCATATTCCTCAATTAGTCTGTTTAATCAAATCAACAGCCAGCATACAGTACGTGGGACCGATTAGTATTCCAGCACTGACTGTACACACTGGGTGAGGTACAGTGGGGATAACAGAGGCCGCAACAGTTCACTTTCTGCCATGGGGGTATTTATTCGGCCACGTTTCCTGCCAGTTTCCAGCAGTGTGATAAATCTTTGGCAAATTTAAGTCCAACTTAACTGCAAGAGTCTAATTATCGGAAGTTGTTTAGGGAGATGGATGTCATAAAATCATTTTATATATTTTAATATTTTAATGATTTACTGGTAGACATTACTACACGGATTAATATGCTTTAACACAACAATGATAAAGGCAGTGATGATGGTGCTAAAGTCCATTAATAACAGCAGGGTTGTTGGTTGAAAATGCACGTGCATCTTAATAAAAAGAGAGTTCCATTTAATTAATTATTATTATTTTAAAATTCAGATTAATTAGCAAATAATGAATAAGATGTTAAGTCTATAAAAAGCTTATCCCTAATTAAAATAGTGTTTTTTAAAAATGTGTACAAGATCAACAATCCAACATCCTCGAATAATGTCTCACCTCTGAATTGCAAATTTATCATAAAACATAAAGGAACATCTCATTTTGTATTGTCAGCTGTGGCTTAATGTATTCAGCTCCAGCCTTAATCCATAGCTGGATGTATAGACAGACAGGCGCAGAGGAGGCATGGAGACAGTCAGTCAGTCAGACAGACAGTCAGACAGACAGGTCGCTCCAGAGGTGACCGGGGAATCCTGCTCTCTCTGTGCCGGCAGACAGAGCCTCCTCCTCGGCCACTGCTCCTCCTCCCCTCCCCTCCCTCTGCCCTGGTTGCGCGTTGGGGGATCCAACGACGTCACACAAGCACACACATATATACACACACACACACACAAGCAGACACACACATACACACGCCCTCTCTCTCTCTCCCTCTCTCTCTCTCTCTCTCCGCTCTCTGCCTCTCCGTCTCTCTCACTCTCACTCTCCTCTATGCTGCTATTCTGGGAAGTGGCGCTTGGAATAACCCCCGTGTGCGTATGAGTGTGTGTGTGCGTGTGTATGTGTCTCCTGATTTCACCCTGACACACGCACACATACACACTCACAACACAGTCAGACGCACACATTTACAGTCTGTCTGACTGCAGTAGTGGAGCTCCGGCAGCAGAAATCCGGTCGGAAAGGATTCCTTCCATTTTTACGCGCAACTTTTCCTCCGTCGGCCGCCTCGCCGCGACGTTTCCACCGCTTCCCCCTCGACTGTTGTGGATTTCTAACAACCATCTACCGGTCTGTTTCTAACGGAGAGGAGTCCAAGCCCGCCCGGAATCGGATCTCCTGTCACCGGGGTTTGCTTGTTGTCATTCTCGCACGGAGACGGAGACGCGCAGCCGGAGCGCAGGCAGAAGGTAAGAGCGGAAAACCCTTTACCGGACATATTCTCACACATATCACAGTGACAGCGGGCTTTTTCTGCGCCATGGCGGACATTATGATGTGTTTTCAAGGCACTTGATCTTTTGCTCAGCTTATAAGGACAAGGCTATGCAGGGGGAATACCCCGGGCACGCATTGCATTGCATGCAGATTACCCGGGTTGCGTAATATCCTGAGGAATTTGCAGTAGCCTGCACGGCCAGGCTGGATACAAGGCCGGGGGGGAGAGGGAGATAGAGGGAGAGAGGGAGGGGGCATGTTGCTGGATATGAAGCTGTGAAAGTGGAAGCTCGGATAGGTGTGATGGTGTAGTTTTTTGGCGTCTGGAAGGTCGATTTTCTGCATTTGTGGGAACACAAACAAAGCCGCGTTTCCTGCATCAGGTTGCTTTGAGCAGACTTTCACCTGCAAATCCCTGTAATATTCACATCCTATAATCACCGTACAGTTCCTGTGGAGTGTTCAAAAGTGAGTTTAAGCTGTGACCTTAGCGCACTCTCTGTGGTTATTTCCTTGTTGCTGCCACAGTGATCACACTGTGGCAGCTTGCAGACATTCGCAGAGACGCTTGCTGTACAGTAGGTTGTGTCTACTAAAATGAACGCTGGAACACAGGCAAGTTCTTTTTCAGATGGGAGTGACTTTATCTCATATGCTCATCGTTTGTTTCCTCTGTGTATGTGTCTGTGTATGAGAGAGGGAGAGAGAGATGGTGGGTGGTGCGCTGGCTGGTTCCGGGAATGTTCCATGACGTGTTGCCGTCTAGTGAGGGGCCCCAGCCGGGGAGACTGCGACGCACGGCCGGGCCCTGCTGCTCTCTCTGTCCCTCTCTCCCTTTAACAAGCCTGCTGATACTCCTGTGCTGGAAAATATGTCAGTCTTTCCTCGCTGCGTTTCCAGAAAAGAGATTTCGTGTGTTATTGCGTGTCATAATCCCTCTCTGCAGGGAAGCTCCCCCTCTCTTCTTATTGCACCTCCACCCCTCAGCAGAGAAGTCAGAGGTCAAAGGTCAGGGTCAAACGCCAAGATATGCAACAGGTGCTGGAGATCCTGCTCAAGGACGCTGCCCAGCAGGGCAGATGAGTGGCAGGAAGAGGTTTTAGCTGCAGGTCTGAAACAGCTGAAGGACGCTGTGCTGGATAGCTGCTGCCAACATGACTGTGGTTCTCAGGGCATTTGTCTGATGTTTATTTGTCACCAAAAGCAAAAAATAAAGAACCCGAACAAGTGGAACAATCAAGATCAAACAGTTTCTGCACCGAAGGCACGCATAAATTAAATGAATACTATTTTTATGATAAATTGCGAGAAAGAAAACCTGTAAAATATCTGCAAAGATACTGTTGCAAAAGCAGGATAACGATATTAATAAATAGTTTTACAAGCTGCATTGTCACATCTGCGTGTTTTTGTTGTCTTTTTGTCAGGGAAGGCAGCTAATTTTAAACTGACACAGTGAGGGTGATATTTTTGGAAACAACAAAAAGCTGTGTGCACCGCAAAACAATTAGAGAAAATGGCAGGAATAAATGAGCCGTGAAATAAAGAGAGAGAGAGAGAGAGAGAGCTGTCGATGAACACTTTGTGTCTCTTTCTACAAGCTGCAGAAGAAAAAGCGTTCACTAGGACTGGCCTCGAGTGTGTTTGAGGTCGGTGCTGGTGGGGTTAGTAGCCTGTAGCTGAGGAGATCATTACAGTATGTATTCTGCTGTCAGGACACATGCTGGTGACTCTGAGCGTGCACGTGTCTGTGGCAGATACGTGTTTGAGAGCGTGCACGGGGGAAGGCCGACCTACGTACCATCTGTCCCACTGCCACCTCAGATGGGCATCGTGGTGTACTGCGTAGGAGCACACATCCATGCACACACACACACACACACACATGCACTGTTACCAGGGAGGACAGGCGTATGGAGAACATGCATGAGGTGTGAGTTGATTTTCTGCACTAAACATTCAATTAATTTGTTACTTAGGCCTTGTGGGAACTCTGTGTGTGTGTGTGTGGATGTGTGTCTACAACATGCTGCAATTGTACAAGCAGCAGCAGCAGCAGCAGCCAGTGGGGCTGAAATGATCGCTCGAGCCAACAGTTCTTGATCCTTTGCCTCGAAGATTTGTTGACAGTAATCACTGTTGCACCGGGGCTGACACTGTTTTGGGAGCAGTTTCAGTTTGGAAGTGGCCAAGTTGCTGTGTTTGCATCTGGGCCACTCTAGTCTTAAAGGGCTTGGTATGTTTACCTCTGGCTGGCCTGCAGGCTCCACTGCAACAGATGTGTTCATTCATTTAATAGTGTTGTTCGGCCTTGTGGCGTTTTGTTTGGCGTTTTCCAAAAGTAAGATTAATTTTTTTTAAAATAGAAGAAGAAAGCCCTAGATCGATAAGTGTCATTCTAAACATGTTAATATGATTAAGCTGATCAAAATCTTTGGGATATTTTTTTACTGTTCAGTCTGATATTTTTACTAAAGTCAAAACATTTTTCTGTCATGTCTCCACAATCTCTTTGTTACAGATATATATAAATATAAAGACTTGTGAAATGGGGCTTTTCTAGCCATCAAATTAACCAACAAGTATGACAACAGGCAGCAGAGTAGCCATATAAAAACATTTTATCGCTTTTTTGAAAGCTGCTGTAGTTCAGAAGTCATCGTTAGGCTATCAACAGAACTTTTGTCAGCAACAGAGACGGCAGAATTTGTATGGTTATTATTTATTTGTGGTGTTGTTTTGTAGGACTTATTACAGGTCACCCAAATTACAGTTTAATTTATGAAAACAGATATTTGCAAGGAGCCCCTGCGATGAACCAGTGATGTGTCCTGGGTGTACTCCGACTCTCGCCCAATGCCAGCTGGTATAGGATCCCATATACAAAATAAAGTTTATATATAGCTAAAGAATAGATGGATAAAATCATCATAAATAAACTTCTTCCAAGGCATACAGTTTGCAAACCACCGCTCTAGCCTGCACGCACTGTGATGGTAATGTGGATCATGGGTTCACCTTAAAAGGAAGGTGGCATGACCTGACATTGCCAAGAGCTCTTTCTCTCCCATTTTATATGTATTTTATTCTAAAATAGCTTGAAAGTAGTGCAGTTGTCATGGGAAAATATAAAAACTGCTGGGCTGAGGCCCCAGTGTGTCAAGGTCCCAACAACGCCCCTGCATTCATTCATTCATTCATTCATTCATTCATTCATTCACTTAAGCCAACCTTTATTTAAAGCGCACAAAATCATTGAGGGCATGCCCTCATTTTCAGTGATGCCAGAAGCACAATTAAAACAGACAACAATAGAACACAGTTCAAAACAGTAACATTCGAGAGCGGAGTGGTTTGTAATCATGGTTTTAAATTGACCTATAATTATTAGCCCGAGGACAGCTGCCTGCATGAATCAGGCTGCCAGATTCAAACAGCACCCGTCTTTGAGAAGTTGTATATGTCAGTGGAGCGGTGTCATCCCATTTAACAACGTAGCATATGCCAGTGACATAAGGCAGTTGCATATGCTAATGTTTACAAGAATATTGTCAAAGTCCTGTGAAAACCTCTGAAATGTCAGCTAGGAAATACAGCTTTGTTTCCAGATTTGGGACATCACACTTTCTTGTTCACCAAATAGGTTTTTAAATCAGCTATTTAACTTAAAAGGTAGGATAATTCTCTGAAAAAGAAAAACAGGATTGCAAAGTAGGATTGCAAGAATTGGAGAATTCGAGATAGTAGTTTTAGAAGACTCAAATAGTAGGATAAACTGGTTTCCTAAAAAAATCCTAACTCCAGGCCCTCTAACTGTTTTCATGACTTTCAACCACATCTGATGGTCTCTTCATTTGATGGATTTCACATAGCTGTCATGAAGATAAAGTCGTTGTCAGCTGTCATGTGGTCATATACTGTACGGTGGGTAGAGCTGTGAAGTGAACAGATCCCTCATCTGATTACATTACAGTCCTCTGGAAGTGTTTTGTATTGAGCATGCTGTAGTTTCATGGCGTCCATTTTGGTTCAAAATCCTTAGCTAAGGCTGACATCCTGTTAAAAAACAAAACAGCAGCAGCCTGTCATGTCAAATTCATCCCAAGTAACTATTTGATTATCCGTTTTTCTTCCTTTTTTAACATCTCTACATTCTCCTCTATGCCTCTCCTCCTGCCTGTCTGTCCGTCCGTCTGTCTCACCGCCGGCTGTACATCAGCCAGTTAGCTGCAGATGTGTGAAGTTTGCATTTGCTGTCAATTATCACAGTGCACACATCATAGCTGGAGAATTTGAAATGACTGCAGATGTGTGGCATGGTGTGAAGAAGCAGCGCACACTCGCACACAGACACACACACACAGCTTTCATTACAGCTCAGAGTCACTGATGTGCAGAGCGTGTGCAGATGAGGCTAAACACCACGGAGCAATAAATATTCTCCACTGATAGAATTAGCAGCCGAGAGTACATCTTGTATTTACTGCTGAAGCAATTAGTTAATTACATAGATCACCCGGCCTCTGAAAATTGCTCTACTTTCGTTTGTTGTGGCCTCTTATCAACTGCATATTGATTGTTAGTTTGTTTAAAAGAAAAAAAAAAATTTAAAATGCAGTTTTGCTCTACTAGCTTCTTGTTGAGGGTGAAAGATTTATTTCCTCGATAAAAGATGTGACATGACGCTGCTATGCTTTGTGTTTTGGCATCCTTTGCCTCACCCAGTCTATTATCAGACACACCAGAGTTGTCTATTAACGACAAACAACATCTGTATTGCGACAAAATGCACGTACACACAGTTTGTCTCATTGGATCGTGCTGCTTTGAATTCAGTTGCACAATTTCACCAGCGTGTGTGTTTGTGTGTGTGATCACCTGAGAGCTGTAAAGGAACCTGAGAGCGCGCCGGCGACCGAGGTCCTGACAGCGACGGCTAAATTATTAAGACACACCCACACGTGTACGCACA